TTGGAAATGACCTTCCAGACGTTGGATAGACGTTGTAACGGGTTGACTATATGCAAATTGGATCGACGTTACTGTTTCGACGTTGAAACAACGTTGAAATTAGGTTGCCAATCTTGTCAACCATAATTCAACGTTGAATCCACGTTAAAACAACGTTGAGATTGGTTCACAAATCGACGTCGTACATTTAACCATGAATGAACGTTAATTCAACGTCTGTTGGCTGCTGTTGAACCAATGTTTGTAAAACAACGTCAGAGCAACGTAGATATTAGGTTGTCGACGTCGCAACCTTTTTTCTACCAAATTTCAACGTTGAAACAACGTCGTGTGCCCGGTGGGAAATGTCTCACAGTATTTAACGACTGAACTAGTAATTTCATGTGGTGGGTTTCAGTAAGCGTGAATAAGACGCAAAATTAAATTGTTTTATTATCTCGCAATTCTATTTTCAGGTTAAAAAAGTTGTTAATGAAATAAATTTCTCATTCTGTAAAAAGGTTGACAGAGCTAACATCTACGACACAAGTGAAACGTATTTGTCGTGGTTCAAAGCTAGTCATGAAGGAAATTTGTTCGTGTGTACGGTCGCCAAGGAAAATTTGACAAGTGTACAAGAAATACTTCTATGGTTCCCAGGGACCGCGGAGACGGGGGGGCTGGGGGGGCTTTAGCCCCCCCACTTTTTTTGACAGCCAAAATTATTAAAATAGAAATCTAAATGAAACTTTCTAAATTAATTAATTGGGGGTTTTATTGATGATTTAGCCCCCCCACTCTCTAATACGCTCCGCGGGCCCTGTTTTGGCAAACAAAAGGCGGCTTTGACGTGAGATAAAAGTTTAATAACATTCCGTGCACACGGGCAGCAAAACTTGTCAAGGAAAAATTCTTGACCGCACCGCACGAGAAAGTAAACTTGTCAAGAAGGTAAATTTCTATTTTAAGGTAGTTCTATCTATGAGTTATATCCCTATCAATCCACAACTCTCTAAACTTGACGTCAGTTATCAAGGAAACTTGTCAAGGAACACTTGTTTATACGGGGTTTAATTAAGATCATTAAGATGGCGCCATATTTATCAAAATGTGGCATATTTTGCTTGATATATATTTCAAAATCCAACAATAAACAACAAAATCCTTAATAAAAATCCAACAATAAGAAGAACATTTACCCAATTTAGAATAAGCAATCACAAGCTTCAAATAATCAAATCGAACGCGGACGATACGAAAACGTTCCTCGTGAATAAGCGTATTTGTAAACTTTGCAACTCTGACACGGAAGTAGAAAATGAATTTCATCTTGTTTTTATACTTGCCAAGAATATGGTAACATAAGAAATCATTCAAATAACATTAAGACCTATATTAATTGGAATATGACAACAGAAAGTAAACAGAAGTTACTGGAACACGCAATGTCCTCCGACGATTCAGTTCTTGTTAAATTAACTTATATTATCCAAATTTTAATTTATTTTTCTTTGCTCTATTGAAAGGGAAATTAGCATCAAATCCATGGAACTCCATTGAAATAAGTAAAAAAACAAAACAAATTTTCGGCAGCAAATTTCTAATTAATTAAGTAATTCTAGAATGCATGCTGCAAAATACTACTATACTTTCGTAAAATAGTTCAACTTATATACTGAATATAACTACTAGTTCATTTATAGCAATAGCTACATATATCCTAATCTTAGTTCCTATACTTATTACCATTCCAGAAATACCTGTAAATAGGTCATGCATTTGAATGAATTCATAATAATAATATCTATCAAACAATCTTTCAAACGACTAAGGGAGTGGTCATTATTTATGGGGGGGTGGTGGTAAATGGGGAAAATAAGGATTGTCCTACCATATCCCTAACCCATGGCCCGTCTTCATACAGCGAAATGATTTGAACACAGGCAGGGGCGAAACTAGCCCCTTTTAATTAGGGGGTGTCTGCTAGAATTGCCCTGCGAAAGTCGATGATGCCCTGCAGCAAAATTTTTTTTTCTCCCAAAAATGTTGGCGAGCGGGGGGGGGGAGGTCGAAAAATGTTTTTCCGGATATTCAAAAAAGGGGCGAAAATATAAACCAATTAAATTAAGGGTCAAAAATTTTTTTTCGGACAAATTCCTGTTAAAACATGCATGAAACCCTTATTTTTTTTTACCAATATCTGTAAAATTTAGGTCTATAAATTCTATTCAATTCCCTCTGGAAGCCCTGGAAGCCACTTAATAACTCTACATTCTATCATTTAAAATCTTTCATTGCCCTGCCAATCCAGATGATTTGCCCTGCCAATCCAGATGCTTTGTACTTTGGTGGGTGTCACACCCCCCACACCCCCTCAAGTTTCGCCCCTGAACACAGGGCTTTATTTAAGAACATGTCTGGGGGGTGGGCATCTTCAAAAAGGGACCATACTATACTACTGATCGAGTGTGGAGAGATGATAGATGGTTGTTGGTGACAAAAAGTTTGGTGTGGTATCGTATGTACTAGTAGGGGGGTCTGGGGGTATTCTCCCCCAGAAAATGTTTTGTATTTTTCCACCCCTAGGACTGAAATGTGTGCATTTTCCGAAATAGATTTTTGGATATACAGCGTTACATTGTGCTTTGATGGACCGAATCTAATGAGTTAAGTGTACTTGCATGGTATGTTTATCATGTAAATACCACAACTGGGTCATTCAGGGGGTAGGAAGCTTGTTAAACCTAGTGGGCCCCACTCCCACGAGGCGCTATCATGGTTGGCGTCGAGCAGGGAAATTTTGAAAATTTTGAGTCTCTAGATCATTGGATATGGTATTTTCAGAGTCTTCTTTTTGCTATTTGTGATTATAGGAATCAGAAATCTAGACATGGTATTTAAGTTAAAAAACTTTCTTGAACCCCCCTATTTATAAGGGTAAAACCTCGTTTGCCCCCTCCCCCATTTACCACCCCACCCTCCCCATAAATAATGACCACTCCCTAAACGAGTCCGGTGACCCAAAAGCTTTTTGTTGCGGTTTTACATGAGTCTGACCACTAACTATGGTCTGACTATATGCATGATCATGAGATTTAATTGTGGCAAGTTTCACGAAACTTTCAGACTCAGTATGGGAGCATTGGGGATTATTGGCATAGGAAAATATCTGCGCCTAAAAAAGTATCTAGGTTGGGTTATTACGTACCGGTTTTTGTTAGCTTTACGAAGGCTCAATACAGCCTTCCGGAAAGTAAGTCAATTTGGCTATAGAGCCTCATGTGATATTAATTCTAAAAACGTCTCGACCACGAAAATGAGGCCCTATAGCCAAGGTGACGCACTTTCCAGAAGGGTGTATTTTATGACGCCTGGTTGGCTAGAAATACAATTCGTGAAAAACAATCAATGGTTTTAGGGACCGCTCATTATTTATTGTACAGGGGGGGATTGAGGAGAAACTGGGGGGGCCTTTAAATTTTTCAAAACCTGAAAGGGGGGGCTTTGAAAAAATACAGAGAGACGAAAGAGGGGGGCTTTGAAAATATTTACCAGTTTGAAAAAACATTAGTAGTTTTAAAAATGTATCACAAAAAAACTTAACAACAAATAACAATATTTATAGACTATAATATTCATAAATGGAAGTCAAATAAAAAGTCTCGTGTTCATGGAAATAGGCAATTCCCATTATAGACTAATTTTAGAACTAGGCAAAGAGATGCAAATCAAGGCCGGATTTTGGTGAAAATAGTGGGGGAGGTAGACAAAAATTTTAGGAGAGGTGCAGCGGTCTAGCTCACAGCTCCCATGGAAAGTTAGGGCTTATTGTAGAACAGGCCAATATCAACGAGGTGAGGTATGCATGTAGTGTACATAATATGTACCAGTGTATTAATGAATTATGAATGTATGACTCCAATCTTGCCCTTCATTACAATTGCTACACTGTTTCTTTCAAAACATTGCATTAAAAGGGTGCTTGACATGGCTATCACTGTTTCAATTTTACAGAGAAAACTTTCTTACGTCACAAAGTGTAGATCCTAAGCAACCATCACATTTTCACTTTGTTCCATCATTGAAACTGTCCCAAGGGGAAGTGCATGACCTTTCAAGAGAGATGGAAAAATTCTCAGGGGAGGTGCAAAACGATCTCTGGGGAGGTGCGCACCTCTCCACACTTCCCTCAAAATCCGGCCTTGATGCAAATAAATCACCACAGCTAGAAAGAGCATACTAAAATAAGGTTGCGAATTGTTGCAAAATACGGAAAATATAGCCTTGCAAAGTTTGCAAATTTTGTACACTTTTGTATTGCATGCGAAAATTGCAATTATACAAAAGAATACAAAATTTGCAAACTTTGGAAGGCTATATTTTCTACATATTTTACAACATTTTGCAACCAAACTTTGGAATTTTACTAATTTTAGTATGCCCTTCCCGGGAATATACTTTTTTTGCAAAGATAAAAAATTAGTCTATAATGGGAATGTCTATTGGTCCCCATTACCTATTTTTCTTTCTCTAAAATAAACAGCTAGAGTTTTTGTTTCTCTAAACAAAGATAAAGAGCTAGAGGGGGTGCAAAATTTATGTTCTTGTTTTGCCTGTTAGGGGGGGGGGCTTTGAAAATTTTACTTGTCTTAAGAGGGGGGCAACGAAAAAATATTATAACTGTAGAGTTTCTCCTCAGTCCCCCCCTGTACAATAAATAATGAGCGGTCCCTTATGTTATGGGAAAATCGTTTTGGTTCCTAGTCACCAATCGTTTAGGTACTTAGTCATCTGTTACGTGGCAAGAAAGAAGCAAAAAGTCATTTTTTCGCAGCCCATACAAACAAATAAAGAAGTAATAAAAATTGAGTCAACATTCGGTAAAAAAGGTTTGTTCGAAGAAACATAAAGTACTAACAAGTTTTTGGCTGAACCGCTGGTCAATCAAATTGAGCCCACAAAGTTAAATTAAAAATCGTGAAAAGGAAGAAGAAAAGAATTGAAATCCGGTCAAAGTTAAGATGAATGCTTTGAACATTTTGATTGTAATTTATATTTCGATATCTCATTATGGGACGGTTTTAGCTTGGGATAATATTGACTTAGAGTTGTTTGATTTGGTTGAGGATGTAAGGACCAATTTTTATGAAGTTTTAGGAGTACCACAGGTCAGTGAAGTTAATTAATTGACTATATTAATGTCACAATAAAGCTTTATTCTCGACTTTTAATAACGTAATACGTGTTGATCAAGTGAATACTTTTGATCGCCTTTTTGGATCTTTGTTTGTTTTTAACTTATCACCATAAAACAAGTATATTAAACTGAACAGCATGATGAATTGATGAATTATATCAACTGATCATTTATTCATTCAGTCAACTTGCATTTATATTTTTACGGTATACTGTATTTTACTATGTGTTTTATTGGTTGGAAATTTCAAGAGAAATGTATACGTATTTTTAAAAGATATATAAGATGGAATCAAACCTGCTCATTATTTCGTGCGGTGACCTATATTGAAATTTTGCACACTGTATTGTATGGTACTACAATTAAACGTCTTTCAATATACCAAAACAGCAGGCAAAGAAACATTTTACGGTATCAGGCAATAAAGAGTGAATAAACTTGCTGTTTTAAAACTGAAATACATTTTTATTCTTTCGACGCAAGAAAGAAAATATGAAACGAAAATGTTCAACAAAAATTTTGCCAAGAAAATTCGAACCTGCCGTTCCCGGAAACGTGAAGGTTAAACTCCCTATTGTAACCGTGTGGTTTGTGAATGATGTAATCTTATGTAAAAATTGCGGAAGAGGCAGGGTCTTAGCTAGAGGGCCGTGTTGGCCGTGTTATCGCGGCCAAAAAGGGAAAAACACGGCTAGATAAAATGAACGTGGTTTCATTATTTTTATAAGGCCGTGTTTAGGTTCATAAAATAACAGACAGAATTTCTTCCTATTTACTGTACGTCGTAAGAAAGTTTATAAAATCTACGTTTGTAAAATCTATGTTTTAATGTTTTGATGGATAATGGGAACTGTATGGTGTTAAAATGGTTTTAAATGCCCCCAAGAGTTGCTGAAATAACTTGCAAAGCATAGAACAACCACAGGTATTGTCTGTTGTTGGCGAGCATAACTAGAACCGTGAATTTGGCTATTTGAGGTAATTGACATGTGCACACCCTGGTCATTTAGAAACACGCCCAAGATCTAAAATCCTAGCTAAGACCCTGGGAAGAGGCCATGCATTGATGAAAGAGGCCATGCATCGACCAAAGAGGCCATGCATTGATGTACTCGTATTTGAGCGTATTTTTTCTGCGGCTTTTTCACTCTTCCAGCTCAAGGTTGTGTAAATTTTAGATTTTAGTTCGAAAAATGTGCTATCTATTTGTAATATTTGTTATTCTTCAATCATCCCATTTCATTTTTTGCTGATTTGATCGAAAATTTTATCCAAACATGCATGCCATCTAAGCATGGTGGACACCAGACACAAAATATACAATAGAGGTAGCTTTATAACATTATAACATAAACATCTCGTTTTATTTGGAAAAAAAACCCAGCTCAAATAACCCTGTTTCTCGGAATTCCAAAAACTATTAAGTGAGTGAAAATGATTTTTTGTTGCTTTTTCTTTTCGGTGGGGGAAAGATTCAGTTTAAAAAGTCAATTACAAAATTGAGTTTTGACCTCTGTTTACCGGAGGTCAGTTGGTGCTTGGATAAAGCCCTGATTGGGGGTCACCGTGCCTCTTTTCCAACTACATGAAGCAATAGGCTATTTTGGAGTGAATTTCGTACACATGTGTTGCCATAGTAACGATCTATGTGTCACCAAAACTGACATAAATTGAAAGAAAAAACATGAAAATAGATGAATATCCTGATATCTGTCGCATAAAACCTAAAAATACGACATTTAAAACTGTCAAACTATTGTACACCTGAAGTTTTGAAATACCTGGGTTTCCTATTTCTTGTTGTAAATTTTTTTTTATTATTGCTCATGCATGGAAATGATGCTACCGCATGTAAAATTGTAAGACTATGTGAAATTGTGACAGAGATTGTCGACTTTACTTCTGAAACTGTCGTTCAATGTTCATGGCATCAGAAAAGGTATTTAACGACTTTAATACTGGAAGTAGAGATGCCTCACTTAGCAAAATTACAGTTGGTAACGCAGGTAGAAATACTCGAAGGAACTTTTCACAGCAAACAGTAAGTTAATTTTTGTTATTTCAATCGAGTTATGTTTAGGCCTATAATTTGTGAATCTGTCATTTTTATATAATATAAAAACATTGTCATTGCTATTCATGTCTGCTCTAGTCTGGACTCTGCTTCTGGTCAAAGAGATTTTGATCATGCTTCATATAAAGCTCTATAGTGAGTTTAAAATACTGTTTATAATCAAACGTGCTTGCACACAAGCCCATTGCTGTTATATTATACTACAACTGCCCTATCCACTAGTTGCAGGTACTGTATATTTTATATTACTATTGTCTTTAATGGTCACTGGCATCGCACTGACTGCAAATTAATGGGTGCTATTATTGAGATCTATTGCCGATTCAAGGATTGTCTCCCACCACAATTTCACACACAGTGCAATGGAAGTTCAGTCTGTTTAAATACGCACAGTTGAATATTAATCTTCTAGATGGAAATAATTGAGTGAAAATGTATTTACATTCATTAGACCTAACCAGGAACAGCTGCGAAAAATGCAACTGTAGGTGCAGTTTATTTATGGATATCCAGTCCAGATGTAAATAATATCTGATCTAAGATCAGCAGGGACATAGCAACAGGGGGTGTAAACCCCACAGCCATAAAATGGGCTGAGGTACGATCATATCGACAAGTTTCAACCTTTCTTTTCAGCATTTAATAACAGCAGTGTCAATTGAGTAGCATGTTCATACTTTTATAGCTAGAGTTAAATGTTGTTTAAATTTATACCTGCATCATTTACAATATTTCATTTTTGTGATCTGCCAGTAAATACACTGTATTTGGTTCTTAATTTTAAACAATTTGCAGATAAAAGCCCAATTCAAAATCACAGTGATGCATGACATCTACAGTACTTCAAACAACTAAGTGAACACATATTCTGGACAATTTGCTGATAATATGGTGACTGGTGATAATATTGGATAATATAGGAAGATCAGAATATGCAAGTATCATGAGGGCAATACAAACTATCAGACAAAAGTTTTAGTGGTGATGACATAATTGATTGGATGAGTTCATTATAAATTCCGATGCTTTTAGATCTTACAAATTACAATAAATAAAAACTGTTTAGAAATCTAGCATTAAATATTATATCAATGAAGAACTTTGAATTTAACCCATTGAGCCGCAATGCGCCCCATTGCGCCCTACTTTTTTTTACTTGTCTAATGCCAGACGATTTTACTTGTCAGTGGGGAAGCTCTGCAGCTTAATGGGTTAAAGGTTTTATGAAATTTGCGATGCCAACAATTCAAGAAAAGCTAATAACTTGTAAACCAGACACCAGAATATATTTGTAACAAGAAACCCATGTAATGAAATCTTAGTGAATTACATATTAGTGAAATTTTGAAAAACAATAAAAGTGACATCATTAGTTGCTGTATATATGCTTATTATTAAAGCAAAACATTTATTGTTGGCTGCACCATTGCTACCAACCATTATTTTTAAATCGAGTGATTGTAGCCATTTCTTGGCATTGTAAAAAAATACTGCATCTGTTTTATTTTGACCATTCATCTATTGTAATTATTAATTTTGTATCACAATGAATGTTTGTGATGAATGTTCATGACAATGTGAACTCCAGCTGTATTCGACAGGCTGAATAGTGAATAGGCTAGCCACATGTACGCAGTGCGTACCTATTTTTGAGTATCATGGCAGGAGGACTTGTTGCACTTCTCAAAGCTTTAATTCTCTCTTAAAAATCGAGTATACTGTATCTTGTATTTTTATTATGGTCGCAGAAAAATTATTCTATATCAACGTAATGGGAAAGTTTTCCCATATTAAGTGTTGTTTGCAAAAGTGTTGAAACTGCGGATTGAGAAGGATTCAGCCACCTGAAAAATATATATATCCCCCTTATTTATGGCCCTGCTGCCATCTGACGTACGACCCTGTTGCATCATTTTTACACCAATAAGGCAATTTTTCTTAATAAATGGAACGAAACCAACAGAATTTCAAGGGCAAAGGTAAAAATACTGTGCATCACCAAAGGCAGTCTGCCTCCTTTCAAGATAAGTCCTTCCATGTCTTGGTTTATTATTATGAATATTATCTTCAACATTTTTTTAACTATACACAAATCATAGACAATGAAGGATAGAATGAATGGGAGAAGAACCCATGTATTCTTGGGAGAAGAATCTATGTATTCTGACACTCCAGGACAACATTGTACAATTACAATATTACATCGAAGAATTTTGGCTCTTTCATCTATTTGGCTCTATTAAGGGCTATTGCACTATAATTACGGACCATTTAATCCCTGGGTAAATTACTAGTGATTGACCGATTGTGCAAGTGCAACAATTGGAAATTACCGATTACCGATTATTCATGTCACAATCTACCAGATACCGATACTGATTTTACAATGACGTCATAATATTAGTCTACCGAATAAAGGTACGTGACATCATTCATGTCGATTTTTTAACGATATCTAATTTCCAATGTAACAACATCGTTACTGCAACCAAAGATCATTAAAACTGTTAATAAATGGCATGCTTCACACATTAATTTAACATATTGCATTAAAATGTGTAATCGTGTGTCAATGTGCAATGCATATAGTTTTTAAAGTGCACATTTTCTCAATAATCGGTTTTAGACAATTGGAAATATAAATAATTCTACCGATTCCGATTGTCTACTGATAAGGCAAAAATCGTGCCGATGCTGATACCGATACCGATTATCGGTCAATCACTATAAATTACCCCTTTGTCCTTCACTTCGTTTGAGAGGCGCTGTGTAATACTTCAGGCTTAAATACACTTTTTTTATACTTTTCATATAGGACGCAAGTGCTGCAGAGATACGGCGGGCATATCGCAAGTTATCACTCCATTTACATCCTGATAGAAGCGATGACCCTACTTCTGAGGAAAAATTTCGCCAGGTATGTGTTAGGTATATACAGTAAATAATCGTATTTACCTAATGAACTAACACATGTTTATGTCCATTATAACCACCCTAATTCAAATATTCAGATATTGAGATAACTCTCATGCCCAGTTACCGCATAACTTGATCCAAGTGGGGGGTAGTGGCGAGCGGGACCCTATTTTGTGTTTAACTGTCGTTCTTCGTTCTATTTTCCCTAATTTTTTCCGTATATTTATCAGGGGTCGAAATTTAAATTTTTTTGTACTATACAGCCGAAATAGTAGATTTTTATATTTACTATTCCGTCTGAAGATCCACTATTCCTTAATGTACTGTTTCTGATTTTCATGAAATCATCCTTGAGACTCCTAAAGTGAACTGAATAATTGAATAACAAAAATAAACATGTACAGTGCATTGCTCTGTACGTATACAGTGATGAACAAATTATTAATAAAAAACAAAGTTCAAACACTGAAATGAACTTGCGAACTTTGTTGCGAAGTTCGCCCCAATTTCCAAACTTGGAAACGCAATTGGCAAGTTCCCAACGAACTTGGGAACCGTGCGTTGAAAAGTGACTTGAAATGGACAATATTGCTGCAAAGAAATTAGAATACGCAAGTACTGCAAGCGAACAAGAACTTTAGCCACGAAGTGGAACAGTGGCTCAAAGTCCGGTATAAAGTGATATACAGTCGAACCCCTATTAAGCGGACACCTTCGGGACCTCGCCTAAGTGTCCGCCTAAAAGGGGTGTCCGCTTAAAAGGGGTATGTAGAAAAACACAGCAGGAGGCAAAGGTGTGTAATTAGGTGTGTAATTTGAGTATCATCATGGCTGGCGGCTCACTGTCCTCCGTCCTCATTCGTCACTTCCTCAATAATCTTGGCTCTGATGTCTTCGCGCCAAGTTGGTGTGTCACTGTCAATGTGCCATGTAAATTGATCTCAATTGTTATTTACTGTCGAATATTGAATACATTTTATCAGACAATCTGTCATCTGTCCGCTTAAGAGAGGTTGGTTTGCCCATTGGGACCTCAAGTAAGGTGTCCGCGTCCGTTAAAAAGGGGTGTCCGCTTAATAGGGGTTATGATAATAGTATTTTATTAAAGAAAACGAATAGGACCTGAGATATGTG